ATAGGAGGGGATCTGGTGACAGGCGGGGGGGCTACTGTTTACGGCTGGATGTCATCCAGACACACATGGTTGCGCACACACTGGAGGAGGAAATGTGTATCGCAGCTGTGCCTGAGAGGCCACAGGGAGGCAGACATGGGTTCCAACAAAAAGGTGGAAGAAAGTAACTCTTGCGTAAATATATTTACCTGCACGGTCGTTTGGGCAAAGACACAGCTGATAAGCTGGTTCAAAAGGATCGTACGCTTTAGCTTCAAAGAATGGCAGCATCTAGTACAGAGCTGAATGATTATAATCAGAGCGCGTGTGAGCAAACATGCATGTTTGTGGTGTCTGTGTCTCAGGCCCTTCCAGCTCCGAGATGCTAATAAAGCTTCATCACAGTCATTTCCACTCACAGCTGGCTGTGGTTACACAGGATGTGTGTGTGTGTGTGTTTCTCCCAGACTCCTAGGTGATTACAGTCTGATTCAGCATCTTATCAACTGAGGAGAAATCCATGCTCTGAAAATGAGTCATGAATGCTATGGTTATTGCTGAAAGCAAGACAGCTTTCTTTCTGTTCCTCGGGTGGGTTGCATCTGTGGAAACTGGAATTAATTTTCCAGGAAACAGTGCTGTTTCCTTTGGCTTTTACCAGTACGCATCCCTGGTAGCTTGTTTGGGTTTACATAAGGATGCTTTTGAAGTGAATTTGACAGGTAGGAGTTTTTCTTCCATTGAGTGATTGTGCTGAGGATTTTCTTTTTCATTTTATTTTTGCACGTAAATCAGAAGGGCTGGCGCATGAACATTCAGACTGCTGTGGTTTTCTTCCTGCAACTGTGAGCTATGACGCGACTCCCTGAGGGAATTCTACTCAAACGCTGAGTGGACAAAATGCAGACGGGATGAACAATGGCTCTTTAAATTATCCACTAAACCACACAGAAGATTTTGTGCTGTGGGGCTCTGAACTCGCATTTCACACAAATGTGATCGAGGAGCAGATACAAAAGGATCGGAAACAAGTTTGAAAATGTTCAAACCGAACAATAAGCCCAAAAGGAGGATGAGTTATGGGGTTTAAGGGATTATAAAGTAATGTCTTGACACACACTTTGTCTGTAATCCAGGAGCCAGTTAAAGCTTGGCTTGTTGGGTTGGGGGTGGCTGCAGGGTATATGCACAGAGAACCCAGTGTATAGTTTCCATTTCTGTTCACATGTTTAGACTACGCACTGATTCCCTGCAAAGGTCTCCCAAAAGGAGAACCTGCCCCCTTGAACATATACACACACACACACAGAGCGGAAAATTCCTATGGATGAGATGACACTGATGGAGGCTGATGCAGAGAAGAGTGTCTACACACACCAACTTTGCACTCACACGTCCATCATCTGCTCTCTGTGCTGACCGATTTCTAAACTAGTTCTGCTAATGAGGCAGAAAAGTCTGCGGATGCACAGGCTGGAAAGTAGGATTGGAAATGATAACAAGAATGGGTCGTTCATAGTGGGTCAATTTAAGGGTTTTTGTTATCATCACATTTTAGAGTTATTTTCATAAGCAATCTATTGCATGTATATAAATATATAAATGTCAGATTGTTTCAGCTCATTTCCACCAACTTCATTACAACAGGTTGCCTTCAGGCCCAGGCCTCCCTTGAAAAAAGAGATCTGAGATCTCAACAGGACTTGCCTGGTTAAAGAACGGTAAATAAATAAATGAACAAATAAATAAATTACCTGTGACAAATCAAGAGCGACACATAAACAGCGACACCATGTGGGCGTGTGGGGAATGACTACCTGTATCTAACCTCAGGTACCATTCACCATCTTAAACTAATATATAAAGCCATGAGAAAACTGCTAAAAATTAAGACTTAAGCAGGTAGATGTGATTATTGAACTCTCAACATATTTTTAAAGAATGTATAGAAGTGAATGTTTCTAAGATAATTAGGCCACTGTCTATTTACTGAATTAGATGTGCCACCAAAACAAAAGTTTAAGTAATGAATGAATGAATGAATGAATGAATGAATGAATGAATGAATGAATTGCCAGTGTAACTTAAGCAACTTCGGGTGTTGTATTAAAACCCTTTATTAAAAGCAAGTGATATTTTTGATCAGATGGTTTGAATATATCTGCTGTAAACTACTACAAACATCTCCATTTTGTCTAAAGTAACATGTCGTTTCAGTTGCTGACCCCCCCTTTAATATATTAAAGCACTTAATGACACCTTATTAAAGCACCAAATCCTCTGACGACAATGCGTAAAAGTGGCCGTGCCATGCGTAAAAGGCAAAATTAAACAAAAAACAAAACAAACAAACAAACAAATAAAGTGCAACGAGCATTCTAAAATCCGATAAACAAACACAGGGGATGATAATGGGTTTCTCATTAAACTTTATGGCTCATGAAGGCTTTGTTTGTCATGTGAGTCCGTTTGGCAACGCTCCTGCATACTAATACTGCTCGCTAAAAAGCATCACAATGCGTCCTGGTTCAATCCAAGAACTCAAAGTTTGGAAAACATTGAACAAAATTTAATATATTTTTTTTATTTTAAGTGGAAATGATTTAAATAATCAGGTTTAAATTGGCTACCTAAATGAACTGCCACAAAAGTGTCATGGCCCCAGCGGACCCCGAGGTCCCCCATGTGGACATCCCTCCTCCTCCAGCCGGCACAACACAGGTAAGCATCCCGAGTACACGGATTCAACAGGAAATGTTACTTACTTTGTATCTAGATGAGAGGTTCTGCAGTCTCTCTTTCGGGTGCCTAAATTCATTTGTATTCATTTGTCCTGCCAGTCAAAAACCTGATCCGTTAATCACAGCGTGACTTCCTTTTGCGAAGGTTGGGGTGCACAGAAAACACCGGGGAGCCGTTTTACGCATTTGACAATCTCGAGATGAAGTTCCAGAGGGAGGAAATCATGTTGATTCGCCTGTCAAGCCCGACATGGATCCCTCCTGGCCGTCTTGTTTGACAGAGAGTTTCCCTGCGCGCTTGTCTGACGATATTCCCTTGCGTTTCATTCATTTATGCCAATCCTGAATGAGCTGACCTACAGCCGGTGAAAAAAGGGCTCTTCGAAGAGGAGGTTACTGAACCAGGAGCCTCGGACTCATCCCCCTTTCCTTTTTAAATGGGCTTTCCGAGGGTGAAACCATGGCAAACTGCGCCGCACCGTCAAGGCGTCAAGTTACAAACCCAGCGGTGGTTTGGAGCAACTGCAGGTCTTCTCCAGAGGGGTGGCCGCATTGATTTTACCCCAAACTCTGGTTAACCATAAGAATAAACAAGGTGACAAAGTGCAGCATATGGGATGCTGCATCAGCTACTCCTTTGTTCATCTAGAATATGCTCCACAAACACATTGTTGCCGTTTGATGCACCTGTGAGAGGCAAGTGTAAAATAAAACGTTAATGCCACTCACACATTATTTAGCTCACTTTCCAAATGTTAAAAAAATATACATTCCACTGACATTTTCTTGTTATTCAACTCACTGTTAAGCTATTGTTTTTTTAAACTGAATGTTACCTTTAAATGTTGAAAATATGCATACAAATTAAATCCTAAATCTAAATATAAAAGTTAAATCTTAAATGTTAAAGTTAACATTTAAGTAATTCAAAATGGAACACGGCCTGTGCTGTTAATGCTTGCTCATGTTAGGATGTCATCATCCTGAGACACCATTACCTCGGCTAATGCTGCAAACCCTTCCCTACGTAACATCAAAAGTTGCGCTTGGTGTCCAAGCTGCCCTCCAAACTGCCACAGGCATTTTGTATTTTAATAAACACATTTTGAATGTAGATAGGCTCATCTAAAAACTACCATTAGCAGCATTAGAAACATTAGAAGTGTTAGCAGCGACTAGTGATGACATTTGTCTCGGGGTGATGATGTCATAACAAGAGCGAGGACAACAGCAAAGGCTGTTAAATGTAAACTTCAACATTTAACTTCACTATTTACAATTTAACCTTTACATTTAGATTCAATGATTATGCACATTTTTAACATTTAATAAAAAAATTAGCAAAATGTAAGAACAATGCTAAATAACAATAAAATGTCAGTGGAAACTTTTAACTCTCAGAAAGTGAGCTAAATAGTGGAAATGTGTAAGTGACATTTTATTTTATTTTAAACTTGTCACCCCATAAGAGGGTAAATGAGAGAAATGACCTCCAAATGAGAGCTTCAAGTCTTCAAAATGCAATACAACATGAAGGAATGTGTGTCAGAGTTATAAAGAAAGAGTTTGCATGATCTGTTAGTGCTCTTGAGTATTTGATGGGCATGACTCGCAGCGACTACAGAGCCGGCCATACCAAATTCTAGCTTAATGTTGTAAAACTATTTCTCTGTTTGCTAATTGTTGATTGGTTTGTGAGATATTTTGCTAACGAGCCAACAAGCACACACACAAATTCAGGCCCACGCATTATGTCAGCAGCAACATCTGCACGAACACTGATATTAATGGAAATGCAAATGAAAACACACAAAAGACGAAGCACTTGAATCGGCTCCCATGTCTTACCTTGAATTGGATCATGACTGCAAACATGGAGGTGAGAAACTCTTATTTATCTACCAAACTCAAACTACATCAGTTAATTTTACTCAGTTGTATTAAACATGATAATATTAGGAAAACAACGGAACAAGAATGCTTGTTAAAAAATCAAATGATGATTTTCTTTTTAAGTTGACACATTTGTGTATTTTTGAGAGATACGTCTCAGCTTGAGCACAATCTCATCACAAATCTTTTTTTTCCCCACACTGAACTAACATGATTGGTAATTATGGGTACATTTAGATTATTTCTGGAGTAAATTTAAATCTGATTAAATGCAGACAAACAGGAGGAGCTGTTATTCTAGCAAAGTGGCAGATAAGTGCTGCAGACAGAAAAATCAGTGGATAAACATTTAATGAAGGAGGTGATATTAAGGGTTTGGGTCTATTGCGCCTTGATTTGAATGACCAGAGGCTTTTAGTGTTTGAAACGTTTGCCTTGAATGACACTCTGTCAGGGTGGGTTGTTTTAACTTTACGGTGATCTTTACTCATTTTAACCTTAGGCTGTTTGCCAGTCAGCCACTAGGGTGGGCAGTAATGGTCACAAGTCACCAGCATGCTGTGTAGAGTTCTCTTCACGCACACAGTGCTTTGTGTTTTTAGCGCAGGGTGCCCCCTGACCCACCGGTGCTCTTCCAATGAGCCGCAGCTACTCTGCCTCCATCTTTCAAATTACAAACTCTGTGCTTGCTAGTGCGCTCGCTTGCCACCCCTTAAAGCTGCTTAATTATGGTCATTGGCACCAAGTATGAAAGCTCCCTTTATCCCCCCCACGCTCCAGAAATAGGTCCTGCTGAAACACACAGGCAGCCCAGATCAAACACTCCCCATAGGGAAGGGGTCATTACTGGTGCGCAGGGCGGACACAGCCCAACGGGTGCTGGGCCACGCCTTGAGCCCAAATTGCAGCCTAGGCCTAGTGAGGACACAAGACTGTTCTTTGATGAATGTCAAGAGTAACAGCGGCACAGCCTGTTTGGATATCACTGTTTACAGTGCGCTATGTGCACTATATACACATAAACAACCAATACCGTGTTTTGTGGATTCAACGCAAAGAAGACTGGCTTGGTTGGGTGTTCACAAGTTTCTCATGGTTTTTTACATTAATCTGACTGCTGCTGCACTTTTCAACGAATATGTCTAGAATTGTTTCCAGGGTATGAAGCTGTTCAGTAAATTGTCAAATTACATATCCCAAATTAAAGACGGAGCATTCCTTGAAGGCCTGCATACCGCCTGGCGCCTTCCATGCCAGAGTTTTAAACTGGAATTGTCTAGTGCTGAGAAGTGACAGAGTTATGGGCATTTTGGTCAAAACTTGTAAATGAGGTTGTGAGCCATCTTGTGCAATGTTGTGAGCTGTGCGATTAAGAGGATGTGTTTTGGATGACTCTCGGCACACCAACATTTAATTGATACCTGGTTGGTTCACTTATAAAACTACACAGTTAAACACCTTTAACAGTCAAGTTTTTAAGGCAGGATGAACAAAAAAAAAGTCACCCAACAAATAAACAGGTTGTAAACACAGCCAGCCCTCTCTCTCTCTCTCTGTGTGTGTGTGTGTGTGTGTGTGTGTGTGTGTGTGTGTGNGTGTGTGTGTGTGTGTGTGTGTGTGTGTGTGTGTGTGTGTGTGTGTGTGTGTGTGTGTGTTTTCAAGGCAAGCGGTTGCAAAGGTTACAGAGGTGGTGGCGCTAAACCAGACAGGCCTGTCTCTCTCAGCTTCACTGAGCACAAGAAGGCTGTTCATACAAGCAGTGTGTGTGTTTGTGAATGTGTGAACATGCATTTGTGGATGTGGTTTGCATTCTTCCTTAACAGGTGTCTCTGTCCGTTTGTGTTCCTGGTTTTGTCTCTTTCCTGTAAAGAGATGGTTTAGTGGTGCTCTGCAGGGTGGAAAGTGGTCAAACAAAAAAAAAAAAAAACGTGTCTGCTGCGAGGTCTCTTAGTTCTTGTCACCCTTTGCTGCTTTTGTATACTTTCCTGTCGGAGTTGTCTATGTTTTCAATTGTGTCTGCAAACCAGTAGTATGCCTCCTTTTTCCTTCAGTCTATTCTTTGTCTGTATCGCTCCCTGGAAATCCTGCACTAAAGCTTCTGCGCTGTTGGCACGCCAGTTCAGACAGCCACCCTGAAAACTTAGCCACAACCACAATGAGCATGTAGAGTTCTCATAATAACACCAGAATAACTTTGCTGGAGGAGACGAGCTCTTCTGGAGGCAGGCTCACAGACAAGCTAACTTGGACTGTTAACAACTACGCTTACTGAAGTGTGAAACATAGTGTCCCGCAGGGTGTGTTGTTCAAAGATACATTTCTGCTCAGTTTGCAGTTTGACCACTGTGCAATAGGATGATGTATGGTTGTAAGATGTTTAGATGATGAGTATTTTAGCTAACATAATGGAGCTACCAGAAAAAGAAAGGGAACTACATGTTTTTGAATTTAATTCTTGTGCTCATTTTGGAGGTCCTGAAGAAAAACTGCATCTTATCTTACCAGTGAAACAGATTGCACGCTAAACCTGTCAAGAACAAAAAATGAAAAGCAATGTTAAAAAATGGAACTTTGTATTAAAATAAAAATAATGAAAATTGTGTCATTTATAAGGTTATGGGGTTTTGAACTCAGGATGCAGACACTGAAACTCTAGAAACTCAAAGGTCAAAAAGGAAACTGATTTATTAACAAAAAGAAAAGTGCTGTCTTGGCTAGGTTTGGGCATAATCGCATCGTGTGCAATTAATCGTCAGAAAAACATTAATCGATTACTTTTTGGCACTTGACGATTAAGGATTAATGCCACCAGGCAGACTGACTGGGAATTACTCTGGTCAGTCTGCTTGGTGCTCCTCTCCACTTCAAATATGATGAACATTAAAAAAAAATCTGTAATTTATTTATATATCAACACAATTTAAAATATGACGTATAGCCTGAAATCTGTAATTTTCACACAATTTGAAACAATTTTTACAAAGATCAAATCTTTCCCACAAAATTGGTCATGTGAGTACGAAATAAGGAAATCCAGGGACTCCAGTGGATTAATCGTCAAATTAATCGTTATCGGATAAATACCACAATTAATAGTGATTATTATTTTTTTGCCAATATTGCCCAACCTTAGTCTTGGCTACAGAAAGTACTTAAAATAAACCCACTAAGCAAAAGGAGACAAACCTGACTGTCTATTGGAAGCACAACAAACGGAAAGACACAGAATAAGGGGACACTAATGGACAATGACACTCACCTGGGGAAAAACAAGAAGGGACAGGTGTGTGATCAGCAGGCAGGAGAAACACAGAGGGGGAATAGAGAAACACTGGAGTTGACTAACGAAAGAACACAGAATTCAGAAATGCTTAAGTAAACAACACACACAAAGAAACTAAACCTAAAGACCCTGACAGTTATTTGGTGGAAAGAAAATGCACACAAAGTAAAAGGTTTTCACATCATTTTAATCAATAGTAATACACAACAAAAGCAAATTCACACAATGTCTAAGTAAAGTACAACAAAATATAATAACTAAATATGTTATAATAATTTAGACTATTTTAATTAATATTTGTAATACTCAGTTCTAAGTATTCTCAAA